ATGATGCTGCCTCACTCACTCACATGATGCTGCCTCACTCACTCACATGATGCTGCCTCACTTACTCACATGATGCTGCTTCACTCACATTCACCGATTATCTCACTATTGGTTTACAAATCGCTTTCTTCTTAAATGTTATTCTTAAAATGTTTATTTTTAAATTAAATTAAACCAAGGTTCATTCTTAAATGTTAACATGTTTATCACTCGTTCCTACGTGACGATGTGCAGCAGCAAACTTTACGTCGATGGTTCTATCTCTTCTCCGCTACTTTCCTCAATCGTTTTTGCTCTCACAGGTGGGAGGTGCTAGCATCGGGTGTGGTGGCTGCCGAGGCATTGCTGGGTGCCAGCCAGCAGCAACTGGCTGCATACACTGTCGCAGTGGAGGAGGTACAGGCATGGTGCCACGACACGGAGAGGAGGGTGCGCATACAGCTAGTGCCGCAGGCCACACTACAGGAGAAACAGCAGCAGATGAACATGTGCAAGGTAGGGGTGGAATGCGTGTGTGTAGTTTGTGTAGAGGGGGGTTAAGAGTAAGATTTCAGGCGTAGCCGCAGGAGAAATCACGCTATGTGGTTAGTGGCTGATTAGTGGCCCTGATGGTGCTGTAAATACTCTCTGTGAATAACTCTCAGGTAAATATAATGAACAATTATGTAATATATATAATCAATCATGTAATATGAAAGTAATAGGTAATATTGGAAAATGAAATGTGTGTGTGTGCGTGACAAAGTAAGATCAAGGATGCTCCCAACTACATTTGCAACAGCATGTTAAGAGTATATGTCTGTACTGTAGTGTTTGCTGTATAGGTTGTTAAGCGGGAAAGGGTGTGGGTTAGGGGGTTGTGAATATGCATAAGAAGAGTGAAGTGGAACACTGAGATGTCATTTTATCACTGTGATACTTGCTCTGTTTTGACTATATTTCTCACCAAGAATAGAAAATACATGAATAGTAAAAACCTGCGTATGGTTAAGAAGCGCATGTTTGTTTCACCTCCACGATTGCTTGCTCTGTGTACATACTCAGGTGACGCTGCATGAAGTCTCCTCGTATAGGATCGTGATCGACATGGCTCTAGAGAAGGCTGCTGTGGCCTTGGCTAGCAGATCTGACGACAGCTTCCTCAAACTGAAGGAAACCACTGTAACAAGATATAGCAACATTGTGCAGACTGCTAAGGTAAGTCTGGGCGATGAGACAATGAAAGCGAGTGATAGTGAGTAGAGAGATACAGCGAGAAAGAAGAGGGAGGAGGAGAGGGAGAAGGAGAGGGAGGAGGAGAGGGAGAAGGAGAGGGAGAGAGGGGGAGCAAAGGACAGGGAGACAAAGCATTTAGACACTTTAACTCTTTTACAAAAGATTTCTGTACCTTAGATTACTATAGATTCATTTGCAAAGAAGAGTTTAACTGTTGACGCAAGTAAATATTTAGTATTGGGCAAGCTATGCAAGTAGATCTACTCATGCTCGAATCATTGCTTCCAGGGCCTAGCTGAGAGGTCTGAGGAGGTTGTCACAGAGCACCAGCACTTTGATGACAGCGTCGCCTCCTGCAACCTGTGGCTGAACGATGCGTTTGCACGGTTAGCCGTGTTCTCCCAGGAGGAGGGCGATGCTTACGTGCTGCAAGCCAGACTAGAAAAGATACAGGTACTGCCTTGTCTTAAGCCTAGCGCAGACCTGCGAGTTTTTAATGCAATTTGACAGCGATTCTAGAATCGCTGTAAAAATTGCTGTGAAATCGCTATGTCTGCGGGAATGTGCAGCTGCAACCCGTAGCGATTCTGGTCGCTTGCGACGAGTTGCAAGAAATCAAACTTGTTCGATTTTGGGCGACTTGTCGCTCCCAATTACTCCTAAATTAGTCCCAAGAAACGCTCATATATTTGCATGAAATTATAGATGTTTACTCTTATATGTACAATATATACAACTTTATGTGTCTGGCAGTCTTCCCAATGTGGTGTGTGAATTTGTGGCTGGTTTACTACTTCAATATTTATCGTATAGAGGTCTTCAGCTCGTATATAACAATCATCATTTACATATCAGATAACTCTAACCTAAAGAATGTTAAATACGCCTGGCGGAACTCATAGCCAGAGCAAGCGTGGCAACGGGGGAGAAAGCAGCTCGCTGCCTGTCTGGTTTCCACGGCCTCATAATTCCTGAATTGGACCGGCCAGAATTCTGACCTCGAGTGTGGTTGCTAAGCGCTGTGGGAGAGCGCCGGAAGAAGAGCGTGAAATACGTCGCTTGCCTAGGGACGCAAGGCTCATCCGCCAGCCGCACAGCTGACGACTGCGGCGCCCTCACAAGGCACACGGTACACTAACACATCCGCAAGTATGCAGGAACATTTTGTCGAGAGATTGTTGCTCGCTCTATTCTGGCAGAAAATTTCTGCGTAGCCATGGCGGCGTTAGTTGGTACACTTACCCATACTCTGCCATCCGTGGCTTAGTCACCCTTCAGCTGCTGCCCATCTGCTGCATCAACGTTGTCTGTGTGTCACCATCGTTTTCCTGTCTCCTGGACTGGTGCCGGGATTCGCTGATGGAGTGGTACTGCTTGGTGCTTGGCAGCGTTCGACGTACGTTACTGCTCGTGGGACTGCGTGCATCTGTGTCAAGGACAACCTGCAGAGCTGCCGCCACCAGGCTTGAACGACAGCAGTACGGCATGACGCCAGATA